ATGTTTTCCGCCACTAATGTATTAGTCGCCGAATGACTACATTTGGCTACTAACTTGTTTTTTGTCGGCAAAAGGTATGTTTTCCGCCACTAATGGAAGAGGTTCACAATAAATTTTTTTGTAGTCTAAGGTCCCTCACCTACACCCATATATAACATCCACTCTCTCATTCTCTCTCCTCTCTCTTCTTGTACCAAACAACTCCACTTCCTCTCTCTCTCTCCCTTTCTTTCTCCTCTTCGATCCTCTTTTCCTCCTTCTCACTACAAGAAATGTCACTTTTGGCTACCAAAATATTGGTCGCCAAAAGTCACATATTTAGTCGCCGAAACGATTTAGCGACCATAATATTTTGTCGCTAAGCTTGTCGCCTTTACCCTGTCGGCGATAGTATTGGTGACTAAAATTTTTTTAGTCGCCGAAAGTGACTACATTTGGCTACTAACTTGTGTTTAGTCGGCAAAAGGTATGTTTTCCGCCACTAATGTATTAGTCGCCGAATGACTACATTTGGCTACTAACTTGTTTTTTGTCGGCAAAAGGTATGTTTTCCGCCACTAATGGAAGAGGTTCACAATAAATTTTTTTGTAGTCTAAGGTCCCTCACTTACACCCATATATAACACCCACTCTCTCATTCTCTCTCCTCTCTCTTCTTGCACCAAACAACTCCACTTCCTCTCTCTCTCTCTCTCTCCCTTTCTTTCTCCTCTTCGTCCGCAGCATTGTTCAAAGCTTCATTGGCATTGACTATGCCGGAGGAATTCACACTAGCAAGATTTATAAAACTTTGCCGATGGAGATCGTTGATTTATATGAAGATTCCTGATAGTGCTTTATACAACAAGATTTATATGAAACGGAGCACTAGTCCTCATTGTTGTTCCTCTGATCACTAGTCCTCCGATGAAGATTCCTTCGTCAACAAATATCACTACCCTCGGAGGACAAATATCAAGAAGCAGAGCACTAGTAAGATTTATAAAGCATTATAGCAGATATGAAAGCAGAAACAAAATGCATTAGTTACATATCCACAAGCACAACTGGAAAATATTCATCATTGCTTCGCTTACGTTTTTCTTGTTTTTTCTTCATTATCTTTATTGTTAATCTCAATAAACTAAATCTTAAAATCTTCATACATCATTTAATGAAGAAATCCACATAAAAATATGAATTTGGGAGCTGGGGACATGTATTCGGCAAAGAAGGTATGCCAAGGAGAGAATTTTTGTTATTCAACGAAGAAGGTGTTTGATTTTATGTTATACTCAATTTTCTCTGGTTTAAAATTGTGAATAAACACAAATTCTCTGGTTTGATTAAAATTTCTCTGGTTTAGTTAAAACAATTTCTCTGGTTTAAAATTATGAGAGAAATTTGTAAATAAAGTCAGAGGAATTCTTTGTGAATAGAGCCAGAGAAATTTCAATTCTATGTGAACAAAGCCAGAAAAATTTGTGAACAAAGCTGAGACCATGAATTCGTTTAGTAACTTGCTGCTGTGGATCTTGGGCGGGGCTTCATCTGATGGGTTCAACTCATTTCTTTCGATGTTTAGAAACGTGCAAGGTCAAGGCGGCCAAGTTTATCCAGATCTAGTTAGGTAGAAAAATCATATAACACAAAATACTCACTAAGGATTGGAATGTTAGTTGGTCCTTATATTTTTTGAATGTTTAATTCTAATGTCATTGTAAAGGGTTTTGTAGAAATATTAGTTTATGCATAAATGGTTGCATAAACTGGATAAGGAGTATTGTTAATAAACAGAAGTTGAAATAAGAACAGGAAAAGGGAAAAATTTCTCTAAGTTGAACTCAGGGAAATTTCAATTTTCTCTGGTTTGAACCTAGAGAAATTTGGTGCTGGTGATGTGTAAAATTTTTTCTGTGATGTGTCTAGAGAAATTTGGTGTTGGAGATGTGTAAAATTTCTCTATGATGTGTTCAGAGAAATTTGGTGTCGGTGATGTGTAAATTTTTTTCTGTGATATGTCCAGAGAAATTTGGAATTTTCTCTATGATATGTCTAGAGAAATTTAGAATTTTTTCTGTGATTTGTCCAGAGAAATTCTCTTGATCGAATTTTCTCTGGATCGATGTTGAGGAACCTTAGACATTATAAAAATATTGAGTGTCTTTTATGCTATAAAATCTTAATACCAGGAACCTTAAAAAAAAGTCTCCCCTCAAAAAAAATTGATTTGATTTTCATATAAAATGTTTCAAAAGAGTTAAATTTAAATGTTTAAATACGTTTACCATATTGATCAAATGACCAATATTTTATTAACATATGTATTTTTATATTTCTTAAATTCAAAAAATTGAGAAAAAATATTGAGACATTGAATTACAAAGAGTCTTAAACATTTTTACTTATATTATATAATATAATTTTTTTTTCGGATAAAAAAAAATCACACACACACATATATATATATATGTTGCAGGGTGGTCAACCATGATTATTTTTTGTTTGTCCTAATTTTTCAATCAAAACTTTTAATATGTATAATTTTTTTCTAATAATTTGACTACTGTTTCTCCTTTTCAATTTGTCAATAATTTAAATGCCACTCGAACGTTAATTACCTATATTACTATTGTTTCTCCTCCTTATAAATATAATAGTACAATTAAAGTCGCACAAGTATAACCATACCTACCATTTTTTATTTGTTTTTGTTTATGAAACTGAACTTTCACATGTGAGAATGTATTGATTTATAAGTATAAATGCTCAATTATTTATTGATTTATTTTTGTCTTTTATTTTTTCTATGTTTCCTACAATCTTCCAAGTTCCAACCTTGAACAAGCCTCGGAGCTGTTTAACATGAATATTTATTTATTTATTTGGTCTTTTTGTTTTTCAAAACATAAATATGAATCCGTTGGTGGTTTGGTTAATAATATTCAATCCGTCACAGTATGAGTTTTTTGACTGCACATTTTGGCGCTCACATTAGCCACACACATCAATGCTTGCAACACTATGCTTACATCAGCCACAATGAAATGAGGGACCAACATAAAATTTAAATAAAAATTAAAAGATGAAAAGTATTATTTACCCTTTCAAAATATACATATGAATATAGTATTAGAAAATAATTAACTTATTAGTTCCGCTACGTAGCTTGAAATTTCCGAATTTGAAATTGGTCCGAATCCAAAACGACTTCATTTTGGAATTTTTTTTTCTCTCTTTTCTTCTTCCTCTATCTCCTCTATCTGTTCTTCCTCCATTTTTTTTCTTTGCTTCTTCCATAACTCAGAATACAAAAAAATCAAACATGATCTGTGCTTGTGCTGTGCTTGAGAGCATCAACATCAACAACAACACATCATCATCAACAACAACAACACATTCACAAAAAAAAATTGAATTGTAGAATTTGAATTCAACAACACAACATCATCATCAACAACAACCAACAATCATCAACAATTATTTATTTATTTATTTCTTTTTCTTTCATCTTCAGATCCAGATCCAGATCCACTAGAAAAAAGAAAAGAAAAGGAGAGGAAACAGAGTCTGAAAGAGGCGATCATCAACAACATATGAATCCGTTGGTGGTTTGGTTAATAATATTCAATCCGTCACAGTATGAGTTTTTTGACTGCACATTTTGGCGCTCACATTAGCCACACACATCAATGCTTGCAACACTATGCTTACATCAGCCACAATGAAATGAGGGACCAACATAAAATTTAAATAAAAATTAAAAGATGAAAAGTATTATTTACCCTTTCAAAATATACATATGAATATAGTATTAGAAAGTAATTAACTTATTAGTTCCGCTACGTAGCTTGAAATTTCCGAATTTGAAATTGGTCCGAATCCAAAACGACTTCATTTTGGAATTTTTTTTTCTCCCTTTTCTTCTTCCTCTATCTCCTCTATCTGTTCTTCCTCCATTTTTTTTCTTTGCTTCTTCCATAACTCAGAATACAAAAAAATCAAACATGATCTGTGCTTGTGCTGTGCTTGAGAGCATCAACCACTACAACAAATTTGGGATTTAAAGACGAAACAAATTTGTCCTAAAATGTATATATTTTGTCACTCAAACTAATTAGGACGAAAATTTTTCGTCACCCGTTTTGTTGCCAAAGCGTCGTCGCTAAAGGGTCTTAGAGACGAAAAAACAAATTCGTCATTGAAAATGATAAATTTGTGACGAATTTTTTTGTCTCCAATACACTCTGTTAGAAACATACTTGTAAGTAATTAGCGACAAAATATTTTGTCATTAAAGGAAGAAATTAGAGACAAAGTATTTTGTCATAAATATAAAAAATAGAGACGAAATAATTTTGTCACATTTAATATAAACGAAGACGAAAAATTTTTGTCAAAGAAACTACCAATAGAGACAAACAAATTCATCATTAAAAATGATGAATTTGTTACAATTTTTTTTTTATCTCCAATACACTCTGTTGGGAACATACTTGTAAGTAATTAGCGACAAAATATTTTGTCATTAAAGAAAGAAATTAGAGACGAAAGTATTTTGTCATAAATATAGGAAATAGAGACGAAATAATTTTGTCACGTTTAATATAAACGAAGACGAAATTTTTTTGTCAAAGAAACTACCAATAGAGACAAAAACAAATTCATCATCAAAAATGATGAAATAATGTCAAAAAAAAAATCGTCACATATTGAGGGTGATAGTGACAAAATGTGACAATATTTTTCGTCATGACAAATTCATTTAGCGACGAAATAAAGAATTCATGACAAAATTAATCTTCCACCTAAGCCAAATAAGAGACGAAAAAACCTTCTCTAGGGATGGAAAATTTAGTCACTAATTCCATAATATTTTCTTCCACATTATATACCTATTTTATTAAAATCTGAATTTTAATTCAACAAATATAACCATGTTCATGTTGAAACCTGTTGAATATAACAATTCCATCACAACTTAACCTAACTTGTCATCAACACATTTACGAATTAACAAAATGTAAGTATCCATTCATTATCACAAATAATTTCATCCTAATACAATAAAATAGTGCAATATCCACAAAATATCCAAAAGTTATAACTTGTGCAATTCCACCAAACATCCAACAATAACTACTGCAACTCCACAAAGTATGTGTATCCTTATCAAACAAAAATGAACATTCAAGCAAATTACATCACTGTTGCACGTCAAAAATGCCACCCCAATCCAATCTGTAAAAAAATAAATTAAAAGCTTTAGTAATTAATTAATTATACAAAAGATTAAAAACATTAGTAACTCATCAATTTACAATTAGATCAATTATACAATTTATCCCTCTAACAGACTTTTCTTCGAAATTATGAGAACAAAAAATTAATTTTAAGGCTAATTCACAAATGGTGCATCCCATGAATGTGTTGTAAGTTCATACAACTTATATTGATCAATTTAATTCTTAAAGTGCAAGGATACGTACCAGTTTTTCTATTCTAACAGGGATTGACCTAGAACCACACCTATGTTTTGTATACATCCTTTCTCTATTTGCGATGTTGGCCTTTGATTGCTCCTATAAGAAAGAATGACCAATATAATAATGAAATGTATCATTAGTATAACATATATGTTGGCTTTTGATTGTTCCTGTAAGGAAGAATAAACCAATATAACAATGAAATGTATAACTAGTAAAACAAATTTAATGCTTGATAATAAAGAAATTGCATTGTTCCTATCTATCCTTTTCCTATATATCATTTCAACTTAAAAGATGTTTCAAATTATTCACTAGTTTCATTCAATTCTTTGAAAAAAAGATTAGAGGACTTGTTGAGATTTCATCATAAGATGGTTTTTCTGGGTGAAAAAAGAAAAACGAGTAATTTACACCGTTCACAAATAGGGGGCATATAAGCATGGGCAAGATAGATTGTGAAAAAATCCATTTACATTTCACAAGATATGGAACAATTACTGATACCAAACTCATATCCCTTTCTTTCTTCCACAACTCTATCAAATCTAAAGTTCTGTCTTAATACCATGTATTAGTTACTCAGCTAGTTGCTTACCATTATTATGAAACTTCAGACCAAACTCAAGAAACTGAAATCTTGGTTCTTTATTATGTGATGTGAAAGATGCACTTTAAGGAACCACAAATTAATCTCCTATTATGTGAGCCTTCCAATCCATGTTTAATAGTTTCCCTTTCTCATTTTGCCACTTATTTGGTTTTTATTATGTTCCACTTACATGCCTAGAGGATAAGGGAAAAAGAACACACATGGAATTTCACAGCAAATTGATTGTGTTCTTTCTAGTTTTTTTGGAATCTCTCCATATTCTAATCAAATTCTTTCTTCACTGATATAATAAAAAAGATGAAAATGTTACCAGAAATTCTTTAGTGTTCCACTTTTTATCAATAAGATCTATCCACATGGTAGGATCAACATCCTTCGGTGGGTGGTTTCTTGCATACTCCTCCCCAGGCTCTCGATGGTATCTCTAACAACTGAATAACATAATAAAATATGAATATATGTACAAAGATACACATGTCTATGTGTGTATGAATTGAAAGTAACAAAAAAGAATATATTTCACAATGCATAAATGTATAGTACCTCATGCTCAAACGAATCATAGGATTCAGTGTCACTGCCATCTTCAGCCTCTGACGGTCGATAATCATCGTCATTTTCCTCAATTGGTATTTGTTTTTCCTTCCTTAATTTCTTATGTTGAACTGCAGCCTTCAAAAAAGTTGTTATATTTTTCACTCCTAGAGCATTCATTCTCTCACGATTTTTATTAATTGCCTTCATTCTTTGTTTCTCATAGTTCGTTACCTTCTTAGTTGCGGTACTTGGTTTGGTCAACTATTTTTTTGTAGTGTCCATTTTGCCCAACTATAAAGCATAATTGAACATTTTCTTGGTGGATAAGCATAATTGAACATTAGATGTAAAGAAAAGATAATTATATATTTCTATACATAAAGCATAAAGCAACAATAATCTCAACAAGTGGATATACCATATAGGCTTTAAATCATTAAAATATGGCTAGAGTGAGATGGATGATTTTTGTTTTTACCTTTTGCATATCATAGAACAAATTAATTATAAAGTCATCATAATATGACCAATCAACGATAAACCATATATCAAATTATAAACAAAAGGAGATAACTTCAATCATACAAATCACAATTTTTTTTAATGCTATCTAACTACAATCACATTTTTCTCATCACAAAAAAAATAATTGAAAAAAAGAACCATTAAAATAGTAAATAAAAAGATTATTTAGAAAGCATTGAACAAACTACAATCACATTTTTCTTTTTGTGAGTGTTTATGTTTATCTAACTTCAATCCTATTAAAAAATCAAATTATAAACAAAAAGAGATAACTTCAATTATACAAATCACAATTTTTTTAATGCTATCTAACTACAATCATGTTTTTCTCATAATAAAAAAAATAATTGAAAAAAAGAACCACTAAAATAGTAAATAAAAAGATTATTTAGAGCCATTGAACAAATTACAATCACATTTTTCTTTTTGTGAGTGTTTTTGTTTATCCAACTTTAATCATATTAAAAAATCAAATTATAAACAAAAGGAGATAACTTCAATCATACAAATCACAATTTTGTTAATGCTATCTAACTACAATAATATTTTTCTCATAATAAAAAATAATTGAAAAAAAGAACCATTAAAATAGTAAATAAAAAGATTATTTAGAACCATTGAACAAACTACAATCACATATTTCTTTTTGTGAGTGTTTTTGTTTATCCAACTTCAATCATATTAAAAAATCAAATTATAAACAAAAGGAGATAACTTCAATCATACAAATCACAATTTTTTTTATGCCATCTAACTACAATCATATTTTTCTCATAATAAAAAATAATTGAAAAAAAGAACCATTAAAATAGTAAATAAAAAGATTATTTAGAAGCATTGAACAAACTACAATCACATGATTCAAAGTTATGAGATCACACAATGCATTTCTTTCTTGTAAAAGGCATCTAAATAATATAGACATGTATATAAAATTTTGTTCACATGCATTGTTGTTGCCATTGGACATCCTCAAGCCCACATGTTTATATATCATCTTTGTATCTACTAGGTCATTTAATTTCTTTCTTGGCTATACATTGAGTATTTTCTAAGTCAAGCTCAAGCATATATATGAACAACATACTGTTTTCTAATCTCACATGACCTTATATTGGTGTGTTCCCTGCTCTAGACTAAATTGATTCCTTCTCGTGATCAACTAGCCCTAAGAAAACCTACAAATCAAATCAAATCAAATCAAATAATAAAAAATTAAAAAAAAACCCTTAAAAATGAAGTGACGGTGTAAATTTATATCTAATGAGATGTGAACTACAACTAGAGGGAATCTAATTCATACATTTATATTTGAATTACTTCATTATGCATTTTTTTACTTGCTGGCATAAGATCATCTATATCATTTCCTATATCATTATTTGTCTCATACTCTTTTGACAACTAGTTTTGATGAAATGATAATATGTAATTGATATAAAATAAAAATAAAAAACAACAGGCAGATGAAAATTCTTCCCGACGCTCTATCAATTAATCCACTATAGCCTTCTTTTCTTTTGTTAGTAGTAAATACTAAATAGTAAAAATTGAACCCTAGACCCAATCCCTTCTCTACTGGTATATTTTAAGTTAAATGACAGCTTTGGTAGTTCACTGCTAACTAAGGTTGCAATTATTGAAAATTTCATCTGATCTTACAATGATAAAACCAAACTAAGAAAATAAAACATAGAGAGAAAGTAGGGACATAAAAAGTTGATAATGGGAAAACTTATGGTGAGAGAGTTCTATAAAGAGAATTTTGTAAACTATTAGATGAAGTTATATATCCTTTCTCATTTAGGGACAGCCCCACATCAGTAAACTTTTTTCTAAGTAAATTGTGATCCAGTAACCACCTCCTGCACTTTTATCAACTGTTCTGGTGTGTAAACCCAACCCCATAAAACCCCAAACGATGGATGCGTAATTTTGTTACCAATGGCAATAACTCACACATATCCAATTGCTGAAATATAATAATGACAAACTGACAATAAAATGACAAGTTTACTACAATGACGCAGAACACTGAAACCAACTTACTGAAATAATAAATCTAAAAGCAACCAACTCATCAAATTCACTCATTGACTTTCTATTTGAATTCAGAGTTGATATATAAATAACCTAATTCTGCCCCTAAACAGTCAGTCAAATTCACAAATTAACTTTCAATTTGAATTCAGAGTTGATATATCAATAACTTAATTTTGCCCCTAAACCCTCCAAATCATATCAATTAAAGTTCAATTAACCAATAAACCAGAACTCTGAATATCATTTCACATTCAGAACACAATCAAAACATCAAATTAAACTGCAAATTGATCAAATTATTCGAAATTTTATGAATCAACATCACATACACGACCACTCTATCAGCATTGAATAATGATTCTTAGAATTGATAATCATTATTCAAAATTAAAGAAACAAAAAAGCAAATATAAAACCCTAGAAATTGGGTGAAGATATATATATATATAGAGAGAGAGAGAGGAAGAGGCCGGAAATACCTGGTGTGCGCTGGAGGAGAGACAAATCAAAGTAGCTACTGTTGTCCGTCGCTGGTGTGGAGATGGGTGGTACCGTCGCTGGTGGGGAGGTGGGTTGTCCCGTCGCCGGTGAGGAGGTAGGTGCTCGTGTGCGACAGTGGTGGAAGGTGTCCGGTAGGAGGGTCGCTTGAGAGAAAGAGAGAGAGAAGAGGGATGATGAGAGAGAGAGAGAGAGAGAGAGAGAGAGAGGAGGGATGATGAGAGACAGAACTGTGAGAGAGAGAGAGGGATGATGACAGAGTGAAATGGGAGAGGACTGGCAGAGTAGTAGAATAATTAATAATAGTCGCTAATTCTTTTTTAATCCCTCCAAAATTTGAAATCTCCCTCTAAATATTTTAATTTTTTCACGATTAAAACATTTTTTTGTCATTGAAAATACACTTTTGACGACCAGACTTTTGGTCGCCAAAAATAAAAAAAATAAATTTTTTTATTTTCATTTGGCTACTAAACAATCTTATTCGCTAAAATTAACTATACGGCTACTAAATTATTCTTTTCTCACTAAAACCGAAATCAAAATCAAAAACAAACTAACAATAGAGAAAGAGAATCACACAGGAAAAAAAAAATTAAAAAATAAATAAATTTATAGAGTGATAGGATATTAATCCCCAACAACTTAAACCTCGCCCCACCTAATCCGTCAGCTCATCTGCCAGTGCCAGCGAAGTCTAGGAGTTGGAATGACTAATCAGATTATTCTTTAAATAAGACTTAAAATTTGATTAATTTTTCCCATTAAGTGATAATTATATTATTAAATCATAATTCAAATTTAGATATTGTCATATCTTTTTGAGATCTATATCTAAATTCTTATTTTATTTAATTTTGTGTGGTTTCTATTTTTTTTTTTCAATTTATTTAAGATGGAGTTGTGGATGTCTATTTTTTTTTTTAAATTTAATTTATCTACGGTTTCTATTTGTTTTTAATTATTATTATTTAGGTAAGCCATAATGTGAGTTAGATATGTGATAGACATGTGAGTTTTATTGATTTGATAGTGTGAGATAGGCTTTAAAGATTTTTAGAATTTAAAATTGGATATTGAGAGACAAAAGAAATATTTTAACTGAATAAATTTATTTAAGATGGAGTTGTGGATGTCTATTTTTTTTTAAATTTAATTTATCTATGGTTTCTATTTGTTTTTAATTATTATTATTTAGGTAAGTCATGATGTGAGTTAGATATGTGATAGACATGCGAGCTTTATTGATTTAAAATATGATGATGTGAGATAGCCTTTAAAGATTTTTAAAATTTAAAATTGGATATTGAGAGGCAAAAGAAAGATTTTAACTAAATAAATAAAAATCATATTTATTAATTTTATCTGTTTGTATATATGATTTTTATTTTTATTTTTATTTTTATTTTTATTTTGTGTTATGTTATAATATAAGATATAGATAGATAAGCACAATTCTCATGAAAAATATTATCCGATTTTTTGAGGGAGAGAAAAGGAAAGCAAGTTTTAATATTTTCTTTTGAAAATCATCAGAGAAATTACAATGAAGAGATTATGAAATATTTTTGTTATCTTTCCATTTGAAATCCATAAATTAAGAGATAATTATCATTTCCAAAATAATTAAATAAGTATGGGAGAAGTTGAAAAAGGGGGATAATTATTATTTCCAAAATAATTAAATAGGTGTGAGAGAAGTTGAAAAGGGTGTGTATGGGAGAAGTAAAAAAGACTTGAGAGAAGTTAATAAGTGCTAAGTTTTTTTTTTTAAATCAAAAAATTAGGAAATTAGGATTGAGGTATTGGAGCTCTCACAAGGCTTGTGAGTTAGAAACCCCCCTTTCCTTTAGATAGATAGATATAGATAGATACATATAGATATGGCACATATCATTTATATGACACAAGGACCAAAGTACCGGGACAACTGCTGCAATTTTCCCTTATCTAAATTAAAGGAATTTAAAAAGTAAAAAAAATAAAAAAAATTATAATATTAAAAATGTTCACTAAAAAAATATAGATTAAAAATTACAAATTAATTATTGAAAACTCCATACTAAACAAGGTAATGTTTTCTATTAATTTTGAAAATTAAAAAATTATTATTAATTTTTCCTTTGTTTTTTTTCTCACACAAAAATAGCTACATTAATTATCTTCTTTTTTTTTTTTGGTGGAGAGGGGTTTTGGCCTGTGATTTTTCTAAAATGGGTGTTCTAGACGGAAAGGGTAGAGTTGGTTCAGGCAATAAGAAAAAGTGCTTATGCAATAGGCGCCTTCACTATAAGAAAGAATAGTCGGTTTTGCATACGGTGGCTTCTTGGATAATAGCTTCAATACTGGCATGCATGAAGGGCTTAAGTGTGAGACATATGAGAGGGGCTTTAGTGCGAAAATAGAAGAAATGGTTTACAGAGTGTCTTCTTGCTTCACGACTTCAATACTTGTGAAAGAGGAGCACGCATGAAGTGTCTTCTTGGGTCACGACTTGAGTGTCCGTGCACATGAAAATGAGTGATAAGGGTCAGAGTGTGTCTCTTGGGGTCACGGTTTTAGTGCTCCGAAACACAAAACCATAGCATATTAATAAAGAGAAATAATTAGTGAAAAAATGTTTTTGTCTTCTTAAATACAAGAACAGAGAATTTATTATTGGTGATGAAATATTTTTGTCTTCCACAACATAACCTTACGAGACGAAAAATATATTCGTCGCGCAATCAATCAGAATTTATTAGTGACCATCGTTTGCATGATGGAGTGTTTATTGGTGATGAAATATTTTCGTCTTCCATAACTTATCATTCCTAGACAAAAATATATTTTTCGCCTAATAAATGGAAATATGCAACGACATCGTTTAATAGGTAGGGAATTTATTGGTGACGAATTACGTTCGTCGCAAAAAATATATATATTTTGTGACAAAAATGTTTGTCTCCAATGAGCTAAAATAATTCGTGCCAATGCAAATGAAATTGGCACCTGAATTTTGCAGACAAAATTTTTTTTCGTCTCCTATACGTTTGAGAAAAATTAAAACAAATGACAAACTTAATATTTTGTCATCTATGGGTTAAATTTTAAGACAAAAAAAATAAAAATAAAAATAAAAATAAAAAATTCATTACCAAATTTTGTCACAATAGCCTAGATTTCTTGTATTTTGTTTCCTTGTTTAATTATTATTATTATTATCTTCTTTTTGTGGAGAGGGGTTTACTGTGAGAAAGAATAGTAGCTTTGCACAAAATGTCTTCTTGGATAATAATGTTTGCATGCACAAACGGCTTAAACGTGAGAGAGAATAGAGGAGCTTCAGTGTGAAATAAAAGAGATGGTTTATAGAGATTGTTTTCTCGAGTCACAGCTTCAATACTTGTGAGAGAGGAGACTCAAGTGCGAGAGAGAAATGAGGGTTTGTAGAGGGTGTCTTTTCGGGTCACGACTTTAGTATTTGTGTGTGTGTGAAAGTAAGTAATTAAGGTGAGAGTGTCTCTTAGTTTTTGATGACATTTTAATAAAAAGAAATAATTAGTGATAAAATATTTTCGTCTCAAACTCATATGTTCGTTGCCTAATCAACAAAAATACAAAAACAATGTTGTGTGGGGATGGAGAATTTATTGGTGATGAAATATTTTCGTCTCCTTCAACTTAACCTTATGAGAAATATATTCGTCTCGCAATCAATCAAAATGCAATACGACATATGGAGAATTTATTAGTGACGAAATATTTTTGTCTCCCAAAACATATCCTTCCGAGACAAAAATATATTTGTCGCCTAATTAACAAAAAGATAAAATGAGCATGAAGAGTTTATTGGTGACGAAATATTTTCGTCTCCCATAACTTATCCTTCACAGACAAAAAATATATTTGTCACTAAATAAATAAGAAAATGAAACGACATCGTCTAATAAGTTTGGAATTTATTGGTGACAAATTCCTTTTGTCGCAAAAAACTTTAAATTTTGTGACAAAAATATTCGTCTCCAATGAGCTAAAATAATTGGCGCCAGCAAGAAAAAAAAATTGGCGCCTCTTTTTTTTCTGACGAATTTATTTTTTCGTCTCCTATAGTTTTGAGAAGAACTAAAAGAAACAACAAAATTAATATTTGGTCATGTTTGGGTTACGTTCTAAAACGAAAATAAATTTTATCACCAAATTTTAAAAATTAATTATTGAAAACTCCATACTAAATAAGGTAATGTTTTTTATTAATTTTGAAAATTACAAATTTTTTATTATTTGTTTCTCTGTATTTTTTTCTCACAAAAAAATTTTGTTGTGGAGAGAGGTTTTAACCTTCAATTTTTCTAAAATGGGTGTTCTAGACAGAAAGTGTAGAGTTGGTTCAGACAATGAGAAAAACTGCTTGTGCAAGAGAGGCCTTCACTGTGAGAAAGAATCGTGGGTTTGCATAGGGTGCCTTCTTGGATAATAGCTTCAATACTGGCATGCACGAAGGGCTTAACTGTGAGACAAAAGAGAGGGGCTTTAGCACAAAATAGAAGAAATGGTTTACAGAGTGTCTTCTTGAGTCACGACTTCAATACTTTGTGAGAGAGTAGACTCAAGTGCGAGAGAGAAATGAGGGTTTATAGAAAGTGTTTTCTTGGGTCACGACTTCAAGGTCCGTGTACATGAAAATGAGTGATAAACGTCAGAGTGTATCTCTTGGGGTCACCGTTTCAATGCTTTGAAACGCAAAACCACGGCATTTTAATAAAGAGAAATAATTAGTGATAAAATATTTTTGTATCCTTAAATACCAGAACAAAGAATTTATTATTGGTGATGAAATATTTTTGTCTTCCACAACTTAATCGTATGAGACGAAAAATATATTCGTCACGCAATCAATTAGAATTTATTAGTGACGAAATATTTTCGTCTCCCACAACTTATTCTTCCGAGACAAAAACATATTTGTCGTCTATTTAATAGAAAGATGAAATGACATTGTCTGCATAATGGAGTGTTTATTGGTGACGAAATATTTTCGTCTTCCATAACTTATCCTTCCCAGACAAAAATATATTTGTCGCCTAATAAATGGAAATATGCAACGACATCGTTTAATATGTATGGAATTTATTGGCGACAAATTACATTCGTCACAAAAAAAAAAAATTATATTTTGTGACAAAAATGTTCGTCTCCAATGAGCTAAAATAATTCGCTCCAATGCAAATGAATTTGGCGCCTCATTTTTGCAGACGAAATTTTGTTTTCGTCTCCTATACTTTTGAGAAA